TTGCACATTTCCCGGAGCTCCCGCCATGATGTGAGCGGCTTGGTTCGAATTAGCATACTAGTTGCGGTGGCAATCTTGCCTCTTTTTATAATACTGGTTCCCCTTTAAAAGTTGCTGTTTGTAAATATGTGAAACCTCAACCCCAGTACAACCATACAAATTATAAAATGGGATATAGATGATGAATGTATTTTTGACGTCTATTATGTTTTTTTTACAGGATGCTTCTGATGATGATCCATTCAGTATGCCTTCCACAGGTAGAAGTAACAAAAGAAATGCAAGATCTCGCAACAAACCATTGTTTTAGTTTATCTCACAACAAACCATTGTTTTAGTTTACCTCACAACAAACCATTGTTTTAGTTTATCTAGCAACAAACCATTGTTTTAGTTTATCTCGCAACAAACCATTGTTTTAGTTTATCTCGCAACAAACCATTGTTTTAGTTTATCCTCAGACTAGTAATACAACATACTCGCAACGCGGCGTTTTCTTTTGAAGTAATGCGTGCCACGTTTGTTTAGGTTATCAGTTCTTATCGTACCGAGTAAACGTTGCTGAGCAACAACATTTTCATTATATTTCACAAAATAACGCGAGATCTATTCATATTACAATCAACTATCGCGATGCATCGCGAGACATAAAGACAGGAAGTGACATAGACGACAGCAGTTGTCAGTGAACTTCGAAAATGGCATTTACGGAAAAAATTGGCAAATCTGAGGACGATAATTACGAGTGGGAAGCTATTTTAGGAGAACATTTTGACGAAGATAATAACAATTTCTCTGAGCGATCTCGTGTTTTTCATTTCCTGAAATTAAGAATAAATAGATCGTAGATCGCGTACTATGAAGTCGAACGCGACAAAAATAACGCACCTCCAGTTTTTACCGTTACCGGATCACGCTGATACGCTGAGAGATATCATGTACATGACACTAGTTATCTCATGTTTCGGCATCCGAGAACACGAAAACAAAACGGGTAACACACAAAGAGGTATGATCGTTCAAAACGCAGCGATATGCTCTCTCTGTAAAAATATTGGAAACCTTCCGCAAAATCCGCAACAGCGAGAAATATACATGTAGTTTCAAAGTTGCTCATTATATATTCAAAAACTATTTCAGGTAAACACTAAGACATTCAGTTACTTGTAACTCCCCTGATTGTTGGTCAATTCTTAAAATTCTTACACAGCTACAAAGGTCAAAATGTCCAGAACGCATCTCTCGTTTTTTTTAAAATGTCCGGATCCGATTTACGAAGAAATACGCAATTTCCGAAGAAGCGCGAAGTGTGCAGAATATCCAGTGTTCGGTAAACTTCGACGGTGTCTATGCCAATGCTACACAGCGTGGCACACATAGCATATTCAATTAAGCCGATTAACACCTTTAACAATAGGCATTGTATTACTAGTCTG